TATGTGGAAATAGTTATCAACGGAGCATAGGAACTGATTTTCTTTTTCCGCGAGTTTCAAACAATTATCTTCTAGTTATTCTTATTTTGAGAGTTTTCTCTCGATTGYTTATTTTTCAACGTCTTGATTTCAGCGTTTGCGGGATGAAGATATTRTTCTTGACTCARTTCTGGATAATTCTTTGTCCAGCTGGGAACACGAATCGGTAAATGAGTTTGTATTATGTACTGCATTACAACATAAAATTGTCCCTTTGCTATTGAACTACTGAGTTATTTATATTTTGCTTATATTTCATTTTCACGAGTTTTACCTTTTTTTTCTTAAACAATGTTCAATTTCGTGTAAGTTCAAAAAACAAAAAAATTAGTTATATAGTAGTAGTTATATTAGTAGTTATATATCTTATTATAGATTGACGAAGTAGAGAGAAAAGATCAACACGGTAGCGGCTTTTCACCCACGAAGGTAAGCAACAAGATGTTTGATATTATATGTATATAATTACGTTTTTTCACATTATTGATTAATATCTGTAATATAGAATCAGTCGCTCGAATATACAGTTAATTAATTACAAATAAAAAAATCGAATCTCAAATCTTCACAACTCTATCACCTCAAAATTCATTTTATTTGTTTAGATTTTATTTGACTAGATGAAACCGTTATATTTGTGCAGTTTTTGAAGATTGACTATTAATTATTACTTAAATCTGTTTAAGGAACCATTACACAAACGAAGTCGTCTTGAATGTGAAACGTGTGGAAAATCGTTTTCAAGAAAAGATGCCTTGAAACGACACGAGAAGGTTCATCAAAAAGAGAAAAATCATCAATGCGGACAATGTGGGAAGAACTTCAGCCGTCGGGACTACTTAAAAAAGCATCAGAAAGTTCACGAGAAACATAGTGTTGCGCGTGAGTATAAATGTTTGACCTGCGGGCAAACGTTTAGTTCAGTTGGACAATTCAAATCCCACCAGAAGTCAGTCCACTCTTTGGCCAAAGAAACACGTCAATTCGAAAAACGGAAGCGAAGCCAAGTAGACGATCAATCAAGTAAGAATATTTTACGTTT